CTATTTAACTCTTTTTTGGCTTCCAACAAAATTCTATAAAAATTATTATACATTTTTTTTCAACAACTCACACGTATAATTAGACTTGATTCCAAATTTCTTTTGAACTAGCCACATTAACGTAGATCACTAAGTTAACATGATCTTTGACTTTTAAGTCATCGTTCAGTCAAACAAGGGCTCGACCCAAACAACCTATCTAATCTGGGTCGAATACGGGTTGACCCCGAGTAAAACGATCAAACCCTATCTGATTCACTTTGACAGTCCTTGCTCTTCACTTTGATAGTTCTCTCTGATTACACACTCTGAATCTGATTCACTCTTGACCTAATGGATCCTAGCCAAAAGTTGAAGGCGGGAGACCTCGTCCTTGTTAAAAAGAAAGGGTGTTTTGCTTCTCCTGCGATGGTATGTGCTTATACTATACAAAACCAACCCAAACTAGTCATTTCTTTGAGATGTGAAAGTCGTTGTAAACAATGTTTTATTCTTCATCTGTGTGATGGTAAAGAATTTGTAATATTGCATATCCTTGGGTTATCCATGAGCCTTTTGGCTCTTGAGCAACGTAACATTAATCGTTAAAACGTTGGAACAGAATTTGTTTGATTACTCTTGTATTTTCTTTTTATCTCTTTTGCACTAAAGGTTATTGCTTTGTTGAGAAGGTAGCATTCATGGAATAGCCTTCATTATTTTACTTGCTGATGCATTATGCTTTTGTATCCAAAATAATATTATATGCATATGCTTTTGATGGTATGTGCCTATACAGTACAAAACCAACCCAAACTTGTCATTCCTTTGAGCTCTGAAAGTCGTTATAAACAATGTTTTATCCCTCTTATGTATGATGATAAAGCAAACTGTAATTTTGCATATCCGTGAGTTATCCATGAGCTTTTAAAGTTCTCGCATTATCCTTGAATTATCCATGAGCCTTTAAGGTTCTCGCATTATCCTTGAGTTATCCACGAGCCTTTTGGCTCTTGAGCAACATAATGTTCATCGTTAAAACCTTGGAAGAGAATGTATAACATTTTAGTGGAATAGCCTTTAAGGTTCTCGCATTATCCATGAGCCTTTTTTACTCTGTATTTTCCGTTGATCTCTTTTGCAGTAAATTTTATTGCTTTGTCGAGAATGTACATTAGTGGAATAACTTTCATTATTTTACTTTTTTATGCATTATGCTTTTGTATCAAAAATAATATTATATTCATATGTTTTTGATGGGATTCCTTTCTTCTTGTTGGTAGACGTTTGCTTTGATGGTATTTCAGGTTGAACAATCAACCCATTCGATATTTTGCAACAAAAGAGACGTAAGCTCTCAACTTCACTTTTTGTTTGTTTGTTTGTTAAACCTCTCTATTAGTTGATTAGTTATAAAATGTCCTTTTTTCTTATGTTGTGCAGATGTTTAGTCAAACGTAAATCTCTTGAAACATTTACCGAGCAGAAGAAGCAATCAATTACCGCAGAAGTCACAGATTTTTAAAAAGGGTTTAAACAAGATTACAAAAAACTAAAAAATATGAGTATTGGAATCCTGAGGGTCAGATCAGCGACAATCCAACAACGAAACTTGGTCCTAGTAACGCTTACAAACAGTGGAAGGTGGGCGACTTTGTGTTTGTCAGACGCGTAGGTTCTCCTGCTTGGTCTACCCGCATAATTACCCTCATCAGTTTATATTTTATATTTGCAAATGCTTCTCTGCGTATTTTATGTGGTATTTGACTGTTGTTTCAGGTTTGCGAGTCGGAAGATAAGCTGGATGATGTGAAGGAGGACAAAGTCTGTGTTCAATATTATCCAACAACAAGAAAGAAGTAAGTTCTCAACCTCTAGATTATTAGATTTTTTTTGTTAATGTTCTCATGTAGTTGTTATATTTGCAGAAGCTGTCGCAGCTCTAGAACTCTTGAAGCAAGACCTTTCAAACAAAATGTCAGATTTCAGTCGTCATTTAAAAGAGATGGTCTTGAGCTCATGAAGCATATACAAAGGAGTCTGATGCTTGTGTTGATGACAAT